ATACGATGCATACACTCCATTGCAAAATAGAGCGCTTTTAGGGTCCAAATTACATCAAAATTACACAGAACTGCAAGCTCCTAGTCCTGTGCACGGCTTCCATCCATATTTTTTTACAAACCCTCAAGTTCATGGCCTACAGCATGCTCAAATACCGAAGATTTTGAGGGCATGCAAATCGTGATGTGGCCGGCGCAGGCAATTTTGGACCGATTTACTGATCTGCACCCCTAACGGACAGGACGGTGTGCAGCGTAAATGTACTGCTCTATGAAATACGAACTCATTTTCGACACGGTTCAGGCCGAAAAATGCAATTTCGATCCGGGTTGAGATTTTCAACCCTGGACCCTCCTAGGGTTGGAACCGGGTTGAAATGTTATAAGTGGGAAAAGGGTTGAAAAAAATCAGTGGACAGTGTGGAAAGACCTTTAGAGTGATCGTTTAGCGTACACATGCACAGGAATCGTTACTAACAGTGTCGGTTATGATTGTTCCTGTTGTCCTTTCATAAACACTGCAAAAGCAGAAATGTGATGACGTCACCATGACGTTATTGTTGAGCCTGAATCTTCAGATGGTGGTCTAAACGTGTGTCAGGTTTGAAGTCGATCAGTACTGAGGAGAGAAGAAACACTTAATCTACATGTACAATGTAGTTCTTACGTATAAGTTGCACATATTTTTGTACTACATACCAAAGTCTTTCCAATGAAATATCTGTAATACAGATATTTCAGTGGAAAGACAATATACTATATTGTGTGGGAAAGATGAGAGTAAGTAGACAAATGTTATAATAGCCTTTTCTGTATTTAACCCTTGGAAGGCTGGTCCCCTCCCCCCTAATCATCCCTTGTCCCCTACTAGCTGTTGGGCATAACACAGAGCCATTACCCACATACAAGCAAATTAAAAATGTACTCACGCTTTGTGGCTCTTCCCCAGAATGTCAAAGCGATTCCTGTTGTCGCGGATGTTATGAAATCGCCGCAGGTGGTGTGCGAGATAAACACAATCTCTGTCGCAGAATTGGCACTTTCGTGCAATTCGGTTTGACTGAAGTAGAGAAGTGATATTCAAGTATTATGATAAATGTACAATGTCGTTATGAGTGCAAACATTTTTTGGGAGGTGAGGTTTTTTTCCCCAGCTCTACCTGAACTTTGAATGAAGTTTGTTTTAAAGTGTGCCTGTTTTATGTTATTTCTTTGCATACTACATGTGGCTTTTTGTCTTAAGGTTAAGTGACCAGTTTGTCACAAACATTAACAAGTATGCCAGTATGTGCAAATGTACTCCAAATGAATATGTAGATTGAAGCCTTGTCACACAGTGCCGTTTTGGTGATCCAATAATGTCACTACTTGAGAAATTTGCAAAACTGCAGAAGGACTTGACAGCAACTGCTCTGAATGGAAAAGCTTGTATTGGGGACTTGTGGGGAGGGGGGGAGTGCATAGGTTGTGATAGACAGCGTACACAGAAAACATGAGTTGGTCATCTTGCACCAAAAATTCGTCAAACTGAGAAAAAACATTAGTCTTTTAACAACTGACTAATTTTTAAATCTAAAAGACTAATCGGATGTCTTTGGACTAATTAGTTGTATTAAAATACTAACCCAAGTTTTTGTGAAGACTAATTGAGATTTGTAAAGACAAATGTTACTGTTAGACTAATTAGTACTGATCAGATTTACTAATCATGTTGGTCATTACATTTTCAAAAGACGAATTAAAATACGAGTGACAAATTGGATGACTAATTAATCGCTGGAATACTAAACTGCATACGATTTGTCCGAAGTTTTTTCTAGCTTAAATAATAACCCTCCCTCCCTCTGATCTCTGAAATTAAAGAAGAGACGTGCCCTTCTCAATAAAACAAGCACGGGTCCCTAGCAATATAAAAATCATATTTGTTCTTTTCAAGAAAATGAAAAGCAAGTTTTATTTGTACGGCCACAAAATGAGTAGTTATTACAGTAAGACAGTATGAGCGCGGCAGTTCTAAGCACTTACGCAAAACTTTTTGGCGCTCAACACAACGGCGCGGCGGGTCTGCACTAGTCTGGTGACGAAATGTACTTATACAGAGGCCAAAATTGAGCAGCGATGAGGCGAGCGCCAGATCTGCCCCAGAGTGCCGAGGGTGAGAAGCAACCCACGAACTTCGGTCTGATCTGATTGAGGTAGGTCTAAAATAAAACAATTTAACTGTTTACCTCTTTCCACTTAAGTATTATTTTGTCTTGGATTGAAGGTAGCCTACTGTAAATTAGACCTTGGGTTGTGATATACAGCAAAAAAAGCAAAATCCTGGCTACAGTTTTACGCACTACTGTCCGAGTTCCACATGCACTAGGCCTATAGCATGATCAGATGATAGGCCTAGCTACATGCTATAACGTCTGTTTAGTGTTAGCCTTAGCATAAGCATTGTCTGGGCCATGTGGGGCGAGTTGGTTCTTCTCTTCTTCTACCTTTGAAGTGTGAACTCACTTAATTGAAGATAAGACACACTGCGTAGAATAGGTTGGAAGTAGAATAGAGGGTAGGTTTTCGAAATTTCAAGGGACATGTTGGGAAGGACGATGCTCAGGCAGGGGAATTGCAGTTAACTTGTTGTACATGTAAGTTGTATACTTCTCACACTTAGGCTACATGTACACCACACGGACGACAATATTTGACACACAGTCACTGTCAATTCCTCCATGTCCTCATGGTCATTGACTGTGCAATAACCGACTTTGAGACTGGTCTGAACATTCTGTCTTTTTAATATTAAGAATGTCATGCATAGCCAGGGCCTAGGCCCTGTATACCCCTAGTCTACAACTAGTATGATGATGAAATCTATCCACAAATCACCCAAAAAATTACGTAAACTACCCCGGTTAGCTCACAAAGTCACATGCTAACCGAGGTAGTTTTCGTCAATTTTTTTGGTGATTTTTCGATAGATTTTGTTATTATTTTTATGTGTTCCATTCGGTGAGTATGTTAAGAAGTATCATAGGAAATTGGGATTGATTGGAAGGTTTGGTCGCGAGAATGGGGCAAAAACTGGGGTGCGCGGGAAAAAAACCTAGTACTGTGCACAAAGCTCTGGCTAAACAAAATCGTCCTTTATATGGGGGACTGTACGTCATGCAGAAATTTTTCGTCCTTCATGCGTTAGGCCTATGCTTCAAAATTTTCAAATTCAATATTTTCTCTGCTAAACATTTTAATTATAGGACAGGCCAAATTCAAATTTGGGTCAATTCGCACCTGGGAAAAAGTTCCATACACGGACAACACTTAACACCCTGTGCACAAATATGAGACTGCTCTGAAAATTTCTTAGTGTTTTCTGAGTAGAAGCTTTGATTTTCTCACAGCTAAATTCAACTTTTTAGGACATGTCATTGCTTTTCATGGGTTGTACATGTAGGTCACTATAGGGAAAAATAAGCGTTGTCCGTGTACGGAACTCTTCCCTGCACCTGGGTTAACATGAACGAAGTGGCTATAGTTACGGTAACCATAAGGCCGACGAAGTAAAAAAAAAATTTCTCGTCCGGGTTTTTGAAAAATAGGAGGAAGAGGGGCTTTTTATTTTTTATTTTTTATTTTTTTTTCCAAAATGGCCACCATTTTAAAATGTCCTGCAACCGTTGGTGTTTCCACTGTTCAAAGACACTTTTAAAATAAAAGACAAGTTGGACAAGAGAACTGAACATATTTACAGTGTCCTTTAGAGTTGTATTGGTCTACCAAGAACATGTTTAGATGCATTTGCTTTAACCGCCAAAAGTCAGGGGGGGGGGATTCTTTAAACACATGCTCCAGCGTGAACTAGTGTCATACCGGTTGCATTCTGGCTTGGAAGTCAGCATTTACCGCATACAGTACGGCAGACAGATTCCAGTTGAATTTTCAAACGACAGTCAGCGCGCAGCATGCCCGAAAGTGCTTTCGTTTATTTGCAGCGTATGCACGAACACACTGGAAATATGAATATTCATGAGATAGGAGATCCAATCTTCGAAATTCATTTTCCGCTTAACGTGTCTTTAAAAGTAGGATTTTATTTGAAATAGAGATTGACAAGGGTATAGTTTAATTGTTAAATGATAATAATTAAGTTTTAAGCAACTATTTTGTGAAATATGGGGAAGGAAATATGATCGTTGTTGTGGTGAATTTACGGTCGGTGAAAATCGTCCTTTTTTCTATACTAAACGAAGTTGGGCAGAATGTTTTGACAATTTTATGAAAAGCGACATTATTAAGCTACCTTTATTTTATAACTTTGGTTCTCTTGAGTATCCGAGGTAGTCAGGATCACTCAAAAAGGATGTCTATTCCGAGTGCCCAGGTCACGAAAATAACACCGCTCTGAAAGAACGTGCGTGGCGGTTTCGTGCCCTGCTCCACACGTACACGGGATCACAATAAGTAAACGCGGAGTAAAGGCACCCGACTATAATAAACTGGTTGCGTGTCTTTTCGAAACAGGGAAGTAAAACGATGTTTCATGTAAACGCATTAAAAATAAGACTTCGTCGGGTTTTTATTGGGGGGGGGGGGTCCTACTAAGTGTTTATGCTGGCAATGCAATAACTATTTCTTAATCATTGTGGGGATTTATTGGGAGGGGTGGGGGAGTACAAATTCGCAAAATAAATTATATTTTTGGCTTTATCTTAAGTAGGAAAGTAGACATGCATGACATGAACCTGAAAACAAATACAAAACATGTATAAAGAATCAAGTCGTCTCTTTTCTTGACTGAAATTCTGGGAAACACTTTATTCATGAAATCACAATTACATACTTTCAGCTGCATTTAGTTAAACATTAAGGTATACTGAAACACTTTAATATTTGAACCACTTTCAGTTTCCAAGAAAAAAAACTTTACAAATGAAAGTTTCTCACAACATGGAATAACTTACAAATATAGATCTAAAAAAAAAATTGAACATGAAAATTAAGGCACAGTTTCTTTATTGTGTGAGGTTTTTAATGCTCTGGAAAACACTGATGTACAATGTACATGTACATGTACAGTAACTATACTCTTGCGACATGTATAGACCATGAGCTTATAAAATTCCACGTGTCAGCAATTTGTTTTAAGGCAAGATTATTCAACCGCTCCAGCCCTTGGCAATAACAATAAATTGTATTTCTTAATAATTACAAGGGTAAGAATGCAGGCGTATAAGAACAAATAATACATATTTAAGATTGCAATGGTTACAAACTAACAAGCAATCAATACTGTTCAGGCTAGTTTCCATCTCAACGTAAGAAACGCAAAGTGAAACAAAAAAAGGGACCAAAACTGCAGAACAGATAATATGGAAACATTTCATCTGGAAGTGTCGCCGACAATTCAGACAGATGCAAACTGTTTCGCAGACGATCAGCAAAGTTGCCAGTGGTTCATAATGTTACGCAGTCTGCGTATTTTCAGAACATCGATATGGACTTCGAGTGCAGTGTACAGTCGTTCGCAGAGGTTTGTATTGTATTATCGGTTTTCAATATACAGCATAAAGGCTACTGACATTGATTAATTTGTGAAATAAAACTGGAAGTTGATATTTAGAGAAATTTGATTGAACTGATTATTTTTTTTCACTGTAATGCGTCATTTTTCTTACCGGGCAAATTTACATGCGTTGCAGTCTACACGTCATCAAACAAAACCTTTTGTGCTTCCAAGTCATCATGCGTTCTTTCCAAAATGTGTACATTACAAAATGTGTCCGCATCTAGCAATGCTTGTTCTTCTTGCTATGTGAACAAGATGGCGCATATTAAATGTACCATGAAAGTGCTTATTCCTCAGGTTTTTTATCAACGAACAATACATGCAATATTCCATGCGACATGGCGTAAGAATCCCCGTCGCCTGATTCGTCAGTTTGTGAGTTGTTGATCACACGTCATTGAATTAAACATGCAAAATCCGGTTGTACCACAAAAATTGGAAAGTTCAATCCATGGTAAAATAATAGAGTTCCATTAAAATTGGTCATGTTCATCTTCCAGTGCGGATGTTGTGTCCAACCATCTTGACAGGGAAAATGGGTAAATCACTCTGCGTACTTGACCTAGAGGGTATATTAAAGAAAAGAGAAAGGAGAGAAACATTATAATCAATCAAAATACATGTACATTTACAGGGAAAGACCTAATATTAAATTAGGTTAGTCATTGCAAAAATGTTTTAAAAAAGACATGAATCTGGGACTGAGATTAAAGTGAGAATTATTTCCACTTTTGTTAGGAAATACTTAGAAAATTAATTTTCTTGATTCTTCACACTCATAGACTTTGTACACAACCGCTGAATTAAGTGGCGCCTGGATACTACATTCTTTCCTAATGCATAGCCTAGATGCACATGGGATGTATTTGTTTTGTACTTGATGCGACATGCAAAGTAACGGGTAGGAACCTATTGTCGACATCGGTCGCGATGCACCCACGTACGAACATATACGTAGTGCCGGTTAGTAATACACACTGCATACACGACTGACGTCATCCAAATCAGACGTTGCCGACCAAAATCATGCAATTTTCGCGTATATTTCGCATCAAAATATAAATCGCCCACAAAACCTGCAGAGATGGGAATAGTACGGTTCGAAAGCATAACTCTTCAAGAGTCCAGGAATCGACAAATTCTATCCAACAATATCCCGAGGTAGTCAGGATCACTCAAAACGTGCAGGTAGTGTTGAAAAAAAGGGTTTTTATACCTCATTTCGCAAGCCTAATTAATCACCTTTACAACAATATAATCACTAAAAATGGTATCATTCGACGCCGAAAATAATATTCTTTCACTCACCCCTCCATGTTGGCCCAACACTGCCGCGAAAACGGGTTTCTCGTCGATCTTCCAGGGGCACTGCCGAACGCTCGCGAAACCTCGTGAATTATCGAAGGTCCGAGACCGTACAACTCGCTGCAAATAAAACTTCGCTGTGTGCCTCATTATCGAGCACGCTGCGCGCTGACTGACGACTGTAGTCTAAAACTATCAATAGACATACATGTACGTAGTCTGGTTCCCTAGACCTGACAATTATTCCTGACGCTGACGTCTCAGCCTCGACTCCATGGGCGCGTAGATTCATCACGAATAGTCAGAATCTTTTGGTCTGGTAACCAAGTGGGTGATTTTTTGTGAACTCGCCATGCTCGCACTGTCGGAGGGGTAGCGATATCACACGTCGATATTATGTGGTGTACAAAGTGACCGACAAAGTCTATACTGAAAACTTCGACAATTCTACATATTTCGCATGTATTTATTTTCCGATGAATTTGTGGACTTTTTCAGTGTTTTTACTGCATTTTTCAAAAATACAATATAATAAAAAAATCCAGGGGGCCTCCAAAAAGGAAGACTTTTTTTTTTTTTTTTTACTTTGCCTAATGCAATTTGATTTTATAGTCACAGCATTGTACAAAATATAATTGCTAATCTGTATAATGTTTCAAATTCCAAGAGCTGGTGTGGTAATGCTATATAACTCAGTCGGTACGCTTCTTTTATTTCCTTTATTTTCTCAATCAGATCCTTTACTTTCCATACATGTTTCTCTACTCTTTTTGAAAGATTCATACCCCTGTAGGATAAAGTCCGAGATCCATTCGTTACAGACTGTTCTGGTTCCTTTTCCAATGCACGGAACTGCTTCAACAGAAGTAGACGGCAACCTGTCTAAACTTTCGTAACTGTAACCACTTCGTAACTTGAAAGTTGAAGCTGTATCGGAGTAAACTGGGGCCCAGGTTAACCCAAGTTAACTCGACATGTCAGCCAGGTTCATTGGACTGTACACAGTTTAATTAACCTGTAGGCTACCCAAGTCCACCCATACAGCCATGTAAAACCCTCCGTCGGTGGGTGCCTTAAACTCAAAATGGGGGGGGGGGGGAGGGGCATACTACATGCATGCCTTTTGGCATACACTTTCTGACGTTACTGCATGTTAAACCCCCAAGCACAGGTATAACATGTAACTTGTTGGATATTGAGACAAGTTTGAATTGAATTTTTATTTTTTTATTTGTTGCATTTTAGATTGACATTCAGCTAGTAGTTGGCTGGTGCATGTGCTTTTCATCATGAGCGCAAACTTTGTCTTCAAGTAAGTGTTATTTAGTGTTGTCAGATTGGGATAGATGGACTAAAGGGACGAGAGAACCCTCTGCTTTAGATTAGTTTCCATATTATACGTGTATACATGTATGTCCTGCCCGAGAGGGTAATAACAAGAGAATATGAAGCATTGTTCAGATTTGTCATAAGCGGGGGCCGGATTTAGAATTTCACAGCATGGTCTTTATGCACTTACCCCAATTTATTTGTTTTTGTTTTATTTTATAGGGTCATGGAATATCTGGCACTCTGATTAGGACCACTGAAAGCAAAAAAAACAGAAATCGTTGAGATTATTTCAGTCCATTCATGTGCATGATCAGAAATATAACGTGTAGCCATAAAAGTAATTTGGATTTTTCATTACCGCACTCAATTATTTTCACACAGCCAAATTGTCTTTTTATTTGGACTTTGCATAATGCCTGCTCAGTATTGGTGGGAATTATACACCATATAAAGTTGGGAGTTGAAAATCCAAAATTAATTTACTTTTACCTAAAATGTAATGAGGTTTGCATGTAGTATTTGCTTTGCAGAGAAAAACACATTTTCGTCACTCATAAAACACTACAGGCATGGGCATTGTGCACAAAAAAAATACTTTGCAATATAAGTGGTTGTCACAAATTTCTTGCAAAAGTGCGAGCATATTTGAATCACATTAAATATAAACATGAGGCGTTTTGGATTGAGAATTGCAGCAGACGCAATAGAGTCCAAAACAGAAATGTAGAAGGAATTATACATGAGGATGATGTTGATGATGATGATAATGACGATGATGGCAATAATCCTGGTCAGAACAACCAAAATGAGCAAATAAATGAAAACCATGAAGTGAGCTCATTGTTGCTTGGTTTAAGAGAAGAGTTAAAGACCTCAACCAGTGCATGCACCTATGTTGCCAATGGGATGGCAGATATTATGAGATCGTATCGTGAAGATTTAAGTGCAAAAGTACACGAAATAATAGGGAGAGGTGGTGCTAATTTTCAGAACCTTGAGCAACTTGACCTTGCAACTGCATTAGGGGAGTCAAATTATGAAAAGGCATTGAGGGTTTTCTCAGCAGATCGTCACATATAAGAGAAAAATAGCAGCAGAGCAGTTTGGATACGTGGAACCAGTGGAGTATATCCTTGGCCAGGGTGAACTAAACAATGCAGTACATTTCAGTTCTTTCAACTGTCAAGGCGTTACTTGATAAGGATGATGTCTTTGCAGAAGTTTATAACGGCCATTTATAACTCCACAAATCACATGAATCTTCAAATTCAGCTGTATTATGATGACTTTTGTGTAGGGAATCCTCTGGGCAACAAAGTCAAAGGGTTGAAGTTTGGTGCTTTTTACTACGTTCTTGGAAACATATCACCAAAGTATAGGTCAAAGTTGCAAAGTATACAGCTTGTTTGTCTGTGCTTGACTTCCCACATAAAAAAGTATGGAATGAGCAAAATTGAAGAACCACTAATACGAGATATTACAGCTTTGGAGACGGATGGTCTAACGCTGTACAAAGATGGTGTAAAGTATTCTATGTATGGGACTGTAAGCTTTTTTAGTGCAGACAACCCAGCTGCTCATGCAAAAGGGGGCTTTCAAGAACACTTTAACAGTGGACGTGTTTGTCGTATCTGCAATGTAACCTCACAAACCCTAAAGAGACACTTCAACAGTGAAGGTCTGGAAATACGATCCAAAGAAGCGTATGACCAACAGGTTCAACTTGTAGTGGAAAATCCTAATCTTGCATCATTGTATGGTGTAAAGCGTGATTCTCCATTTAATCAGTTACAGTACTTTCATGTAACTAGTGGGCTCCCTTGCGATATCACTCATGATTTTTTTCGAGGGCATTGTACCTGAAGTCATGTGCAATACCATCACACACTGTGTTCATGAGGGCTATTTCTCACTTAATTATTTGAATGGGCAAGTTTCAAACTTTCCCTACGATGCAAGTGACAAGAGAAACAAACCAAGTGTGATGTCATCCCAGATTGGAAGCTTCAAGGTTAAACAAACAGCAGCACAGTCTTGGTGCCTGCTATGTTTACTGCCCCTCATGGTTGGCCATGCAGTTCCTTTTGGAGACAGCAAGAGGGTAGCTTTATTGCTCCTTCTCGATGTTGTGGAGTATTGTGTGATGCCTAAAGTGACCAGAGTGACATCCGAATTCTTTGCCTTTCTCATTGATTTGTTTCTGCCTAGCTACTACACAGAGTATCCAGATATTTACATGAAACCTAAGTTTCACTTCATTGTGCACTACCCAAGGCTTCTTTTGGAGTATGGTCCACTAATACATTGCTGGACGCTTCGTTTTAAAGCGAAGCATATCTACTTCAAACAGGTAGCATGGAGGACCATAAATAGAAAGAATATCCTGAAAACTCTTGCAGAGAGACACCAGTATCATCAAGCCTGGTACTTGTCTAAATCACAATCAGACAAATATCTCACCCAAGAAGTAATTGAACACTCTGGAGGAGAACTGAAGCATGTCAATGAATTGCCAAGGCATGTGCAACAATTGATCCTTCCTCTTGTAGGTCAGACCGATGTGTACAAAGTAAAGCATGTAGCATGTATTGGAACATGGTACCGTTCAGGGTCTGCTGTTGTTTTGGAAAAGCTGGAGAATGGGTACTGCTTTGGAATCATTCAAATGAGCTTCATTATTTCTGGAATTGTACTGTGGCGAAACAGGGTAGTACAGACTGCAGCGAGTCTAACAGAGCGTGGTTAGCCATCCCGAATTCAAGAAAGTCGGAATCATGGAGGGACGCCAAGGAGGCATCAAGATGCCGGTGTCCATCAACAGGAAGCTGCTCCCTGGGAAGTGGGGGCACGGGCCGCAACCAGCGGCCCCGGCTTCAGCTACGGCGAGTCGGCCGCCGAAGAGTCCGTCTAGAGAGGCGGTTATTTCGCTCTCGCCCTGTCCCATATCACCCTTGGTAGGGCGCACATCATCACCCATCATCCGTCTCACCGGAAAGCCCAAGGCGTACCCGAGCCAACTGTTGGAGGCACGAGGTGCAGAGACGTCCAGAACCCCTGAATCTATGCCTCCTCGCAGCCCCATCACCCAGGCGGGATCTGAGCTGGCGGAAGCCGTCCACGAGCCACCGGTGAAGAGGATGCGGCAGGCCATAGTTGAGGAATGCATATTCCGCAACACCTACCTAGATGGGAAACTGGTACACGAGGATATTATGGACGCTTCATTTTTTATAATTGTATTAAGGATGTCGGTCTCACACGGCACTTGTCGTGTGGGTAAACATCAAACATCGAATTTAGTTATATTATAATTGTATAAATATATGGGCCCTGTTTCTTATAATTGTATTAAGCTATTTAATCCGGGACGGATTAAGCTTTGCCGGGGCCTGTGTGGCGAAACAGGGTAGTACAGACTGCAGCGAGTCTAACTAATTAATTATTCATGCGCGCCGAGAGCATTAATATTAATAGTGCGCGCCTTGACCAATCACAGACGCGCATTTGCACAGGTCTGGGTGATTTAGCGTGGTGTTGCGACATCGCCCGGGCAGTTCGGAAAATGGCGTCGAGTCTAGCACACATGTAGTTGTTAGATTGTCGCAGGAAAACAAAAGAGCCTAACGCCAGAGTCTGCGCCATTGTTTTCGCGGAGTTGGTGAGTGGAATTGTACTGGGGTGATTTAGTATATTTATTGGGTCCGTATCAGTGTTAGAACAAGAGAGCAGGAGTTGTTAAGCCTGTGGGTTATTGG